TCGTGCAATAAATTCACATATATTCTCAAACCCTCCGAAAAATCCACTAAAATACTTTTCCACCGCCGCAACCTTCTGTTCTCGTGAGATCCCATCTTGGGGCCTTTTTCGACGATCTGCCGGAGTGGGATTCGATCACGGAGGGCATCTACATCAACGCTATTGCCCTTCCAATGAAGCGTGAGTAATTTACCTCAGACCTATGGGTCCACAGCTAGTAGCTAGATGGCTTCTTCTCTCTCGATGTTCTTCAATACCATGTTCTCCTCGATGTTCTTGGATATCTATCCGATGTAATCTTCTTTTGCGGTGTGTTTGTCGAGATCCGATGAATCGTGGATTTATAATCAGATTATCTATGAATATTATTTGAATCTTCTCTGAATTCTTACATGCATGATTTGATATCTTTGTATTTCTCTTCGAATTATCGGTTTGGTTTGGCCAACTAGATTGGTATTTCTTGCAACGGGAGAGGTGCTTAGTTTTGGGTTCAATCTTGCGTGATTTCACCCAGTGACAAAGTAGGGGTAGAGAGACACGTATTGTATTGTTGCCATCAATGATAAAAAGATGGGGTTTTCATCATATTGCTTGAGTTTATCCCTGTACATCATGTCATCTTACTTAAGACGTTGCTCCGTTTTTTATGAACTTAATACTCTGGATGCATGCTAGATAGCGGTCGATGTGTAGAGTAATAGTAGTAGATGCAGGTAGAAGTCGGTCTACTTGACACGAACATGATGCCTATATGCACAATCATTGCCTTGGATATCGTCATAACTTTGCACTTTTCTATCAATTGCTTGACAGTAATTGGTTCACCCATCGTATTATTTGCCTTCAAGAGAGAAGCCTCCAGTGAAACCTATGCCCCCCATGTCTATTTTCTGTCATATATTTTCAGATCTATAAATAAAAAATACCAAAAATATCTTGCTACAATTTATTTATTTTTATTTCTTTTGACGTTTTAGCAATCTTTTATACCTATCTCTATCAGATCTTACCTTTGCAATTTACCGTGAAGGGATTGACAACCCATTTATCGCGTTGGGTGTAAGTGTTTGATTGTTTGTGCAGGTGCATAGATTGGAGACTTGCTTGTACCTCCTACCGGATTGATAGTATCTCACCTCGGGTATTCATGGGTCACTTTTACCTGTGCAAGAGGAGATAATGATGATACTATAATAGAGTCATTAAAACCGGTAGATCTCGGCGGGACAACTAGTTTGGTACCCCTTAGTCCAGAATACTGTCAGCAAAAGGCTCAGCAGGAAGCCAAGCAGCAAAAGGCTGCGGTGTAACCCTAACCAAATTACAGGAGATACTATTAGTATCCTAATAGCCTGCATGTAGATCAAAAGCGACATCAGCCGTGGCGATCCTGCTGATGGTGTCCTAGACTAAGGGATCTTATAAGATGGGTGAGCTTATGGACCACCAATCTCATAAGGAAGGACTCCGGAAATCTCGATTCCTGGCATGGTGAAGATGGACTCTACCGGAGACTTAGCGTGTACACCAAGGATTGCTTCGGCTATTGGCATGCGTTTCTCTAGCAAGCAACCGACCATATGTAACCTTAGGTACCCCAGTGCCTATATAAGATGAGGGGTTTAGTCCGTAGAGATACATTCATTATTCACCTTAGGGTTAGGACACAATATATGATCTCGAGGTAGATGAAGCATGTACTTGATACATCGTCATCAATACAATCAGAGCAGGACATAGGGTTTTAACTCTTCTAGAGGGCCCGAACCTGGGTAAATATTGTCTCCTGTTACCCATCGACCCAAGATCCACAGCTCGGGCCCCATACCCGAGATCTACCTGTTCTAGTACTGACAGTAAAGTATCATGAAGCAAAGGAAATGGTATTCGGGAACAAAAGGTTCGCTCGGGAATTTCGTATATATGTGAGAGTTAACAAGCATGTCAGGACCCCACTAGTAACTATTGACCCGAAAGTGTTCTAGGTCATGTCCACTTATTTCCGAACCTGTAGGATAGCACACTTAGCGACTAGTAATATTTATGAGAACTAGAAAATCGGATAATGAGCACGGAAAGTGTTTCAAATAGTTCCAGGAGTGTTTCGGATGTTCTCATAAGAGTTTCAGGAATTCCAGAAATGTTTGATATGTGTCCGGAAAAGTTTTATTCTATGGAAAGTTTCGGAAGATTCCGAAAAGCTCGTTGAAAGTTCAAGAAATTTCAAGAGAATTATATTTGGGTGAAAAACCCCTCGGCTAGGGACTTCCTCCCTAGTTCGTCCTTATGGGCTAGTCCGTAATACTCTCTAATAACCATAAGCCAGCTGGTGGTTGCATTAGGAAAAAGGAAATCTTTCGAGTGTGAAAACAAGTGCAGAACTGCCAGCCGACTTACGGTGATCCGAGAGTACCATAACCTGCTTTCTGAGTTCATGCAAAAGCGGAATCCGTGACTAAGACAAATTAGACATGTCGATCCTATATTGAATTCAGAACGAGCTAGTGGGCATCACATCGCTGAGCAGCACCCTGCACACGGTTTCCGCGAGGAGCACCTGCAAATAATCAGGATTCGGTAAACTGGAAGTACGTGTGCATGCATATGGGAAGCAAGGCGTAGCCGGAACCACTCTCGTACCTTGGGCCGCCGCTGAGCTTACCAAGGAACAGCATACCAAGGAAGAAGAGTGCGCCATGATCGATCCTGTCCAGAGCTGCTCAATCAATGAGTATATATGGCTGTGCTCTTCGATTGTGGGTTGCTTTTTTCTATAGGGGGTGGTTAGGACCAGATTGGTAGGCAGATTCTGTTTTGGTTCTAGCAATGTTCAAAGTCGTCCCGGTCAATTGGGTTGCAAATACATACTTCACAAATGGTCCCTTTATTTTGTTGTTGGGACGGAATTGTTTTTTCAGCCTACACATCGCAATATTTTTAAACGAAATTCCACATGTTCATGGGAACACACATGAGTTCCATGGATTTTTTTCAGATTTTTCTGAAACTTTCAAATATGCTTTTTAATTTTTTTGGAGCCCGGGGACCAAAAATCTGCACTTGGCTCCATATTCCATATGGCTTCCTACTATATGGATTTTGGAGCACTAAATAGACAGTTTATTCATGCACACTGATTAATTAGAGTTCACAATTATATAATATATAAAAACAGTACAACCATCCTCATATTTATTTACTGTCATACACCATCTTCGTAATCATTTCACACCGCTGACAAAAAGTGTACGCAATAGTCAATGGTAAACTTTCCAAGACTCTAGCGGAACACTTGCATGTGTCATATATACACATATCAATCTAGAATAGCCTGCTGCAGGGTCTTGCGGTGCGGTGTAAGGGCTGCCGTCGTCGGAGATGTGGTGTCCGGGCGCCCGTTATTGCATCTACCAACACAGCCATGCGGTTTCGCACCCTGCGGCGACGGAGGACCAAAACTCGGACGGCTTCCATCCAGATGAACTGTGTATATGTGCACCATAAATTTATATACGACTATACAAGTGCTAAAGCTTGGATGAACCCGGGCCTAGAATATAAGAGCTAGTGCACGAAACATGCATTAACCTGATTAACTACTAAGTACTAACCTTGTGTGGCCGTTGAGCATGGCAGGGAGCAGCATATGAATATGATAACAAGGATTGCCAAGGAACGTGGCATGGCAGGAGATGAAGAGTGCCACAGACTTGTGCAAGCGGCCAGTTTGCCTTCCGTTAGGAGCATGACCTCAGTAGTTTATATATACATGCGCAGAGAAGGCTGTAATTTCACTGCTAGCTTAGCTCCTGCACGGAAGATTCCTCTTGATGGAGAGCTACGACGACTCCCATGGTCAAAGTCATCGACCCTCGGTCAGCATTTGGACAAAAATTTCTTCCTGACGATAGTAACTGCCGGAGACTAGCTCCACCGTCACACAAGCTGTTCCGGTGCAGCAGAACCACGTTGTGGCCGGATCCACGCATGGGATTTGGCTGATGGAGACAATCGGACCACAGTGATGAGAGGGA